TGCCCTTGAAAACCCGGTGGAGCTCTAATGTTAAAGTGTTGTGGATTTGCATCCCCCATTTGGATTACTCCACGAAAAACCTAGGTGATTCCTAGAAGAATTTGGATTATAGACCCCTTGAGGTTGATAAGATTGTTGTGGTGACCTATTATATCCAACTAAGTTTATATGCTCCATGGGAGATAGGGAACTTGAATCATTGAGACACTCTTCCAAATTATGTCCACCACCACAAAGCTCACACATCAAAACTTGAGAATGAGGAATAGGATGAATAGAATCATAACTCACAGTTTGATTTTTGATAGTGAATTGAGCTAGTTTTTGAACCAATGAAGCCACATTATCCACCTTGGCTGACAAAGCTGAGATTTGCTCCACTTCATGAATACCTCCCAGAGGTTTTTCAGAAGATCTCTCAGAGTACCATGTTGAACCATTCATAGCAATCTTCTCATAAAGTTCTTCGGCTCGAATCGGTTCCAACACAGTAAATGAATCGCCCGAAGAAGCATCAACTAAAATCCTTGAGTTATCAAGCAAACCTTCATAAAATCCCAACTTCTATCCCATGGTGCGGACACTGCCTCTTTAATTCCTTAAATCTCTCCCAAGATTCGGTTAGAGATTCACTTGCCAATTGCCTGAAATTTTGGATTGCCCTCATCATCCTTTGAGTCTTGGAAATTGGGTAGAACTTTTTCAAGAACTCCCCATGTAGTTGATCCCATGTAACAAAGTGGTTGTCTGGAATTGAGATAAGCCAATTGTGAGCTTTATCCTTCACTGAAAAAGAAAAAAGACGCAACTTTATGGCATCTTGAGAGACTCCATTTATTTTGAAGGTGCCACACACCCTTAGGAACTTGGTGATATGAGCATTGGGATCCTCCGTGGGTAACCCTCCAAATTGATTCGAAGCAACCATATGTAGAATGGCCGGTTGATTTGAAAGTTGTTGGCCTCCACACCCAGAACATTAATGCAATCATGCTCCTCAATATTAGGAGCAATGTAGTCAGACATGGATCTCCCTGGGGGTAGTGGTTGATTGACTCCATTATCTTCCCCCTCTCCATTGAGGTTCAAATTGATGTTTAACGGGTCTTGTGACATCCTCTTTTGCTTTCTAAGGAACTTGGCTTGCTTTTCGATCTCAAGGTTCAAAGGCAATAATCCTTATTTCCCTAAAGATCGTGTGCGCATATAACACAAGTCCTTTGATCCAAAAATCACAACTCAACAACAGAAACTTGTTATAGGTTAGCAAAAATAAAATAAAATAAAAACAAAAGTGAACTAGACTCCTAGAATAATGTTAATACTTAAACGCCACTTCCCCGGCAACGGCGCCAATTTGATTGCAGTATATTTCTCAAACAAATAATTACTCGGAGTAACGAGTTATCGATCCACATGGAAGTGGAGTGTATTAAGCACTAGCTGCAAATCTATTCTTATGAAGCTAATCCTAATGTTTAACATGGATGGTTGCATAAAATAAGCAAAGCAAAATATAAGGGTTGTGAAACAATAGAGAGAGAGCAAGATTCATGGGATTCAAGTATTTAATCACCTAGTGTCAATCTAAGTTCAATATTAAATCTGGGTTTAAACAAGTGTGAGAATGCAAGATGGTATAGAGTTACTCCCGTAGTCTCTAACCCTAGTGAATATCTACTCCCGTGGTATAAACACCCAACGATATAGAACATGCATCCAATGTAAATTCCTAATTACTACCATCTCCCGATGTGCAATAATCAAGAATTAAACTCCCTAACATATATTGCCCTCTCCCAAGGTGCAACAGTTAAGTGCAATTGTGTGTGCCCTAAATTATGCCCAATTCCTATGTGACACAAAGAAGGCTTTGAAACAAGTAATTATTGTCACAAATTACAAGAATCAACAATATAATCACAATTGCAACACAAGTATAATACCCAAATAATAATATATTAAGAATTTGATAAACAGACACATACGTTCATAAACAGTTTTTACCCAAGAATCTCTAATGGAATTTAGCCAAGCATGGCTAAATTATACATAGCAAATATAATAAAGAGTTTACAAATAATCAAAGAGAGTACAAGAATAAACCAAGTTATTTTTTCTAATCTCCCTAACTTTCTTCTTGCTTCCAAAGACAACTTGTAGCTCTCAATTTTCTCTCTTTCTTGTCTCCAAAACTCTGAATAATTCCCTAGGGTTGAGTAAAGATGGGCGTTTTATAGTTGAAGCTCAATAGGAATAGATTAGGAAATTTCCACACAACTTTCCAAATTCTTGCCCAGTGACGTAGGTCTGATTTTCAGGCTTATGTTTACCCTTTTCCTTTCTAATATAGACTTTGATGTCTGTAAAAGAGTTGTAGCTCTTCAAGTCCTCTTTCCAATGGCGCAATAATCACTTCATTTGGATATTTCTAGGCTGAGATATGGTCCAAAAACCAAACTATCGCCAATCTGTGCGAGAATCTGCTCTTTGAAAAGTGATGAAACTTACTGAAATTTTTCGATGCGTCGAGTTTTTTGCAGAGTCATAGTTTGTGTCCCTTCAAGTCTTCTTTCCAATGACGCAAGAATCACCTAAATTGGACATTCCTAGAGTGAGATATGATCAAAATATTAAGGTGTCGCCAAATTCAGCGGAAATTACAACTCTTTGGTCTTTTGTTCCACTTTTCCCTTGTTTTGTTCTTGTGATCAAATCCATTGAAAGTACCACTATTTGGCTCTCTTTGAAGCATTTTAGTCACCTCCTTAGCTTCAGATTGACTTTGTTTTGGCTCCAAACTCGTCCTAGAACTTTTTCATTGCTTTTACACTTGACCTACTACGGTTCCAAAACACTAACAAACACCATAAAACATTCAAAACAAGTGTAAACCATATATACATGATAAAACAAGGGAATATGCAATTAAAGTAACATTTTCATGAACTTAAACCCGATAAATAGATTCAAACTAACACTAGAAACATATACAATTAGGCTCATATCAATTGACTAATTTAAAGGTAGGTAATGAATATAGGAGATTAGGAGTGTTTCAGTAAGTAATGCTATGTGAGGCAGTAAATATTATTAAGACTATGTTATCCATATTAGACTAGGACTATGTTATCCATATTAGACTAGGACTATATTATTCGTGTTTGACTAGGATTCTATCTAGTATCTATATATTCGCTCTTTGTACTCTCAGACATTATGATTGAATACAACACAATCTATATTCTCATCTGGTACCAGTTTACAGGTTTTCTCGATCTCATGGAGCTAGGGTTTAGCGCTTAAGAGTGTCACTAATTACAATTGTTGGTTGATGTGATTCCATAATTAGAATGAGCACTTGTTCGGAGGCGACGGAACCGTGTCAAATTTGTAAAGGTTTCGGTCACACGGGAGCTAATTGTTTATGGCGCTATGATGAACCGTGTCAAATTTGTAAAGGTTTCGGTCACACAGGAGCCAATTGTTTTTGGCGCTATGATGATCCGTATCAAATTTGTAAATGTTTCGGTCACACGGGAGCCAATTGTTTACGGCGATATTCAGGGGCTCCAGGTTCTCAGCGTTTTTCACCCTCCCTGGCTCCTCAGGCGAATGTAGCCGTTTCTGGTGATGACTCGGGTAGCCCACATGAGTGGTTTCCTGATACTGATGCTACCAACCATGCTACGCCCAATCCTTCTTTGTTGACCTCTACGACGGCTTATGATGGCCCTGAGACTCTTCGTGTTGGTAGTGGTACAGGTTTGCCTATTTTTAATGTTGGTTCATCTTCGTTAGCCACTAATTCTAGGTCTTTTAAGTTAAATGATGTTTTGCATGTTCCTGATCTTTCTAGTTCATTATTATATGTCCAGCGTTTTGCCAAAGATAATAATGTTTTCTTTGAGTTTCACCCACTTTGTTTCTTTGTGAAAGACATTTTGACCAAGAAAGTCCTATTTAAAGGGCATGCATCTGATGGCCTGTACTCCTGGCCTGCGTCTTCTCATCATCCAGCTGCATTCGTTGCTGCGCGTTCCTCTTTTGTCTGGCATATGCGGTTGGGAGATCCGCACTCTTGAGTCTTACGCAAAATTTTATAGTCTTCGTCTGCAAGTACTTTTAATTCGAAAGATCTTCCTAATGTTTGTTCCTCTTGTCAATTGGGAAAATCATCTCATGTTGACACTACTAGTACACATCCTTTAGAATTAATATATTCTGATATTTGGGGCCCTGCGCCATTACTTTCTGCGAATGGCTTTAAATATTTTGTGTTGTTTGTGGATGATTACAAACGGTATATATGGTATTATCCGATGCGTGCCAAATCTGAATTATATGGCATATTTGATAAGTTTCGGTCACTTGTTGAACGTTGTTTTTCTCGCAAGATTATTTCTTTTCAATCTGATTTAGGGGGAGAATATAAGAAGCTTGGTTCCACCCTTTCTTCTCTAGGTATTCGTCACAGACAATCTTGTGCCTATACACTACAAGAAAAATCGCGAATTTTTTCCGTCGCGAATCACGTTTTGTGACGGAATTCATTCCGTCGTCTATCGCCTTGTCGTATTTTGATAGGCGACGGAATAGTTCCGTCGCGAAATATGGCGACGGAATTCACGACGGAAAAAGGCGTCGCAAAATTGCGACGGAAATATTTCCGTCGCAATCCCGTCGCTATATTTGAAACGAATATTCCGTCACCTTATTACTTTTCCGTCGCAAATTCCATCGCGATTCTATTGCATTGAATCCAACAAATATTCCATTGCGAAACTTATATTCTGTCGCGATTCCATCGCATTTTTGTTAATTATTTTTAAAAAATTATATAAAATTATTATTTTAAATAGTAATGAATGTTTTAAAAATATTAATATAAAACTACAATAATATAAAAAACACTATTAATTCTAAAATAAAATATAACATAAATCCAAAATATTATCAATCTACATTGAGTTCAAGTCATAATACATTATCAATCTACATTCTCAATTCTCACAGTAAGATCAACCACAGAAACATCTACAGTGGGAACTCTGAAGGCCATTCCAGTTAACTTTCCATTAAGGGCTGGGAGTACCTTCCCAACAGCCTACATAATAACGCATGCAAATTAACCAAAGTGATCGAATGTGTGGGAGCCATAATAGCATTTATTGAATGAAGCAGCTCTTCCACCTCTCCAATCCTTCATGGATGGACCATCAACCGTCTTCTAAGTAGCTGGAAAGCATATGAACGGTTTGATATCCCATACAAACAATAGTCCAAATCAGTAACATAATACATAACATATACAAGTACAACTACTAACCAGTGATGGAGTGGAGCAAGACAATTAGTAGTAGTGTAGCCATTGGAAACAATGTCAAACTCGGGCTTGTATTCCTTCTCGTTTACTGCCACAACAAACATTGGGGCATCCTTGCTAGGAGCAGATATCACAACCTTCCTAGCACCACCCTAATCAAACCAACCAAGTAGATAGTTTAATTACTCAATTATATACACAAACTTGAATTCGATTATCATTAAGTGACTAATTTACCTTCCATTCAAATAATCATAATTTTAATGAATAAAAATACAAGAAACAAATACTTATTGAGGCATCTAAACAGCCACAAATTTTTTTAAAAAATAATAATTACAATAACAGTAAACACAATAAGTCACTCATAAGTTTGATATGATCTTTGAGTTGACAGTCATGAACTTCTACCCTATACATAACAAATTCAATTTACATAAAAGACTAAAAGTGTTTCCAGTTCAAGACAAACAAATAACATTAAAGACATCACCACAATGTTTTGAGATCTTATGAAGACCTAAACAATTCTAAGGATGAAGGATCATTTCATATATCATATTTTAAGAAATGATATATTGTTTAACAAGATCTGACTGCTCATATTTTAAGAAATGAATAGTTTTGAAAATCAAATGTCAACTCCTATGGGAGTGCTCCCTGTCAAGCCCACACTGCCAAGTAACCATTATGAAGGCATATATGAAGCTCAAATATATCTAACATATTATGGGAACAATTTCGTAAAACCAGATAAATCCATATGATGATTGAGGTGTTCTCTTCTAAGTTGACATTGTCCACAGAAACTGAAGTAATATTGTAACATAGAAAAACAGGTATCACAATAAAAAAATTAGTACAAGAAATCAATTGTCCATGGCAGATTGGCAGGCAGTGATGAAAAAAAAAAAAAAAAAAAGTAGAAAGCTATAGGCTATAGTGCATGGACCACCAGGACATGATCTGGTAGCAAAGCGTGAAATAGTGAATATCCTCTGTCCAAAAGAAAAACAACAGTGAATAAAAGAAAAGAGAAAAAGGAAAAGGTTTGGGGGGCTGGCTACCTTTTCTGAGAGGTGTTGTTGGGCACAGCTGTGGGTGTTGTATTTGCAGGTGCCTTCTTTTCTGAACAACTCTGAACCTCTACTCCTTTGTTGCAACCAGGCTGTGATGATTCCTGAGCCTGTGGCCTCACAGTCACACCCATACCTTGATGGCCCTGTGAACTCAGCTGAAGAAATGAAGAGAATTTGTGGGGGGCTTGACTACCTCCATTAACACACTCCATAAACCCTCTCTTCCCACCATTAGACAAATACCCAAAACTGAGAAGTGAAGAAGACTCCTCCCTTCCTCTGGACCACCCTCCATCTGGTGGACCAAGCCTCAGCTCAAGCTTTTCCTCCTCAGAACCGCCGCCATACCTTTCACCCTTTCTTGCATATTCCTCCATCTCTTTTGTCTCAACAATACCCACTCTCAATAAACACAACCAAAAACAAAGAACTACAAAGACCTTAGCTTGCTGCAAAAAAAGAAACCAACAAGGCATTATCTTCAAGGCAAAAAGAAAAGAAAAGGAGATCATATATAGTAAAGTCAACAAGAAGAAAAAATATGAAATTTTTTACCTTAAAACTCTATCCAAAACTGAAAGCAAAGGAAACCCACATGCTTAAACCTCAACAAAAAGCAGCAATCTTTCGTGGCTACTCAAAACCAAGAAACCACCCAAAAACCTCACGTTTTTGGTTAAATTTAACTCCAATTCTAAGATAACTTTCATCTCAACAGCTCAATCAAATGCCAAATGAGCAATGAATTTATGTATGCATACCTAATGTTTAGCATTAATTTTACTCTTTTTTTTTTTTTGTTCTCAATGGGTATTCTTTAAACAAAACAAGTAAAATGATAACACTCAGTCAAAACATGACAACAGCACAATAGTAAACAGCAAGGATTGCTGAACATACAAACAGGAACTAAATAAGTTCACCTGCAGACAGTTGACAGAAAGGATCTAGAAATATCCAGTTTATGAAGTTTTGCTTTAAACGAAATAATAAAGAACTACTTTATGATTCAGCCCTAGACAAACCGAGTATAGGAGGTTTGCAGTCCTTCCCACACCGAAGCAACCTAGAGGTAGATTCACTAATGGGCGAGGAGCAGTCACACAGACGGAACAGTCAACAGAGATGGATTTATAGAATTACCTATTCTCACAGACGGAGGAAGAAGTCTGCTGCGACGGAGGACTGCAACGGCGCTCTGATGCGACGGCGCTCGGCTGCGACGGCAAGGGCGCTTGGCTGCGACGTCGACGGCGCTCGGCTGCGACGGCAATGGCGCTTGGCTGCGACGGCGACGGAGCTCGGCGGCGACGACGACGGAGTGGGACTGCGATGGCGTTCTGCGTCGGCTGCGTCTATCACACTATCTAAAACTTAGGCATGTTAGGGTTTTGATTTTTTTTATTATATTTGATTTGATTTTAATTTTAATTTGATTGATTTGATTTTAAAAAAAAAAAAGTAAAAAACGACGAAGTTTATTGCTAAAAGAAAATAAAATTTAAAAACACATATTGCGACGGAACTAATTCCGTTGTTAATTCCGTCGCAATATTTAGTCAATGCACCAAAAATTATTTATTTTCGTGATGTAAACAAGTTTTTCGTTATTTCGCGACGGAACGCAAATCGGTCGCCGTTTCCGTCGCGAAATGGACGATGAAATTTAATTCCGTCGTAAATTCTATCGTTAAAATTTTGCTGCCAATATTTCGCGGGTTTTATTTTCACTTTGCGCCAAGTTTCGCGACGGAATTAAGTTCCGTCGCTCTTTCCGTCGCAAATTTGCAACGGAAGCTATTCAGTCGCAAAATCGGTCGCTATATTGCAACGGATTAATATCCGTCGCGATTTTCCGTCGCAATTCGCAATTTTTCTTGTAGTGATACTCATGAACAGAATTGACGGGTGGAGCGCAGGCATCGTCATGTTGTTGAGACAGGACTGTCCTTAATGGCTCAAGCATCTGTTCCTTCTCGTTTCTGGGACTATGCTTTTGAGACTACTGTCTATCTTATAAATAAAATGCCCACTCGTGTTTTGTCTGATGAGTCACCACACTTTCGTTTGCATCGTTCTCCCCCATCCTACTCTTACTTGCGTGTATTTGGTTGTTTGTGCTTTCCTGTTTTGCGTCCATATAATCGAAATAAGCTACAATTTCGTTCATCTCCCCTCTTTCTGGGTTACCCCCCGTCTTATCGTGGCTATCGTTGTTTAGATACTAACACTAACAAGGTCTTTATCTGTCGCCACGTGCGGTTCGATGAAGCTGTGTTTCCTTTTGTTTCTCCTATTGGCTCGCAGGCCACCGCACCGGTTCTGACAAGCCGAGGGAATGATGTCTCGGCCACCTTTGTTGATAGCACTCGGAAGATTGACGAGCCCGTGTTGGCTTCTGGCCATGGTGACGGTGCTGGTCACGAGCAGTCCGCATCGAGTGAGCAGACTGTCTCGGACCAGCAGGTTGAGCAGCGCGGCAAACCGCACGGGCGTCCTCGGCGATCCACTCCGCTTCCTCAATTGCATGGCATGAACACTCGTAGCTCGGGTCCGCATCAACATGTTGCCTTAACCACTACTTCCACCGTGGTGTCTGAGCCTACCTGTTACTCTCAGGCGGTCAAGTTTCCTGAGTGGCGTGATGCAATGGACGCAGAATTCACTGCCTTGGTTCATAATCATACATGGCGTCTTGTTCCTTCTCAACCAGGTATGAATGTTGTTGGTTGCAAGTGGGTTTTCAAAACCAAACGGAAGGCCGATGGTTCAATAGAACGTCATAAAGCACGATTGGTGGCCAAGGGTTTTAACCAGATTGCTGGAGAGGACTTTTTTGAGACATTTAGTCCTGTGGTTAAACCCACTACGGTGCGTCTTCTCTTATCTTTAGCCGTATCGCGTGGGTGGTCTATTCGCCAGTTGGATATTCACAATGTTTTTTTGAATGGCAAGCTAGCTGAGACTGTTTACATGCGCCAGCCACCTGGTTATGAGGATCAGACATTACTTAATCATGTGTGTTTGCTTAAAAAATCTCTCTACGGTCTCAAACAGGCTCCACGTGCATGGTTCACAAGGCTACATGATTTTCTAGTTTCTGTGGGCTTTTCACCTTCAAAGACTGATGTATCTCTTTTTATCTATTCTCGTGATAATGTTCGTCTTTGTTTCTTGGTGTATGTTGATGACATTTTTATTATGGGGTCTGACTCAGACCGTGTTACTGCTCTTATTAATAAATTGGCACTTGAGTTTAAAGTTCGTGATATGGGTGTGCCTTCTTTCTTTTTGGGAATTGAAACTGTCCCGTTATCTGGTGGTATGCTTTTATCTCAACAACGGTACATGAAGGATATTCTCAAACGTGCTGGCATGGTGGACTGTAAGCCAGTGGTCACGTCTGTCTCTACCGCGAAAATCACCGACGATGTTGTCACTCCCTATGTCGATCCAACACAATACAAAAGTCTTGCTGGTGCTCTCCAATATCTTACGGTAACTCGTCCTGATCTGTCTTATGTTGTTAATCTCGTGTGTTAACATATGCATGCGCTCACTACTACGGACTAGGCCTCTCTAAAAAGAGTCCTACGATATATCAAAGGCACCCTGCATTTTGGTCTGCGTATTTCTCGGTCTGCGTCGATGGATATTCACGCCTATTCTGACTCAGATTGGACTGGCGATCCGAATGATCGCAAGTCTACTAGTGGTTTTGCTGTGTTCTTGGGGAGTAATCTTATATCTTGAGTTTGTCGGAAGCAACGGACAGTAGCACGTTCTTCAACTGAAGCAGAATACAAGGGTCTGGCTGATGTATTGCTGAGGTTACATGGCTTGTTTCTCTGCTACACGAGATCGGCATCCCACCTGCGTCTCCTCCTCGACTATGGTGTGATAATTTGGGAGCTACTTACTTATGTGCCAATCCAGTGTTTCATGCCCGCACGAAGCACATTGAGATTGACTATCATTTTGTTCGCGATAAAGTAGCCAAAAAGGAGTTAGATTGAGGTGCACTTTATTTCAACCAATGATCAACTGGCAGATATCTTCACCAAGTCTCTTTCGTCTATTCATTTTAATACTCTCCGTGACAAGCTCAATGTTTTGGCTAGCCAACCTTGTGCTTGAGGGATAGTATTAGGACTATGTTATCCATATTAGACTAGAACTATGTTATCCATATTAGACTAGGACTATATTATTCGTGTTAGACTAGGATTCTATCTAGTATCTATATATTCGCTCTCTGTACAATGTACTCTCAGACATTATGATTGAATACAACACAATCTATATTCTCATCAATATGACATAATTTTAAGAGAAAACATTAGAACAGTAATATTTCTCTACTAAATATGAATGCTTTGGAATTGAAATTAAAGCTATCGTATTAATTTCATTTTTGGACAAAATTAAAAATTATTCGACTACAATAACATTTTTACTTTTGTTTATCAATTATCAATCCCATCACATTTAATTTGATTCCCTCAACATTTTCAGACTCACCAATTTAATTCAAATGAAAATGTCCATAATGACCTTATATGAAAAGAATAAAGTTTAAGGAATTAAAATAAGAGAATTTCAGACTTTTTAAGATTGCATTTGGTCCAAATTATCATATTACTAATTTCACATTTTCAAAAAATCTCACATTACTTCCAATAACCTTACAATTCCAAAAATCAAACAAAAACATATAATAATGTAAAAATTATAAAAGCATTGTTCCCCAGGTTGAGTCCCCAATCCCAAGACTCTGCATGCCCCGGTAAGCATCTAGGAGGATATAAATCATTATATTGTAACTCAACTGTGGCATAGGAGCCCCTCACTTTGAGAGGTTGTTCCTGCACTGTCGTTGGACTACTGTTGGTAAGACTCGATCCTAGATCATTGTTCTCAGACTTTATCTATGTGACCAACTGAATTGTCTATGCGGCAAAAAAAAAAAAAAAAAAAAAAAACAAACAAATAACGTGAACTGATGATATGACGGAGTGTGTTAAATACTTGTTGCTATCAATTACCCCACTACGTACTCCTGCAGTAAATTATAAAAAGCATTAAAGAAGAAGGCTGAAAATTTCCACATAGAAGTCTTAGGTCTCCTATCAAGTCAGCATACAAGTCAATTTAGATGTCCTCAAAAAGAAAAGAAAAAAATCTATCTCACTAATTTGGAATTCTTACGCGTTACAATAATTATAGTAATTTTTTACTTTTATAATTTTATGTTTAAATTTAAAATATTTGATGCCATTATAATCAATTGTTTTTTTTTTTTTTTTTTTTTTTTTAAATCTCTCTAAACTACTCCGTATATATATAGGGCAGGTAATGAGCCTCTCAATTGCATGATTTCTTTCGGCATTGATCGAAACTGGAGCTCACGTAATGTGGCTGTTGTGGAGGTATTAATGCCTTATTATAATGCTAAGAATAAACATTTGATATTCTTCATTTAATTATATATACAAATGTTAAGGAATTTCTTTTAATTAATTGTAATTATTGTTAGTTTTTTTTTAGTACTACTTAGTCTATTACAATATAATATCTATCCATACATATTTTCTCAACTTAACCAGTGACCTGACCTCCCATTTGAGATAGCTACAGAGGTGCTATT